CAATCTCCTTGTCAGGAAATGTGCCGACGACTTCAGTACACAACATATCAACCATTTGTATACAATACCAAATATTGTTGGCGGTATATTACAAAAACGCGAGAAAAAACAACACATTACGCCGAAATTTTAGAAAAGGTATCAAGGCGGTTTGTCTGCATTAATATTCTCCTTAGCACTTCCTTTCAGCACCCTACAACTGCGTAATTTCTTTTTCGCGAGAGACCATGTTTCACATCTCCATAAATTAGCACGTAAAATTATTTCCATCGTTATGTTATTTTATACGACACGGAAGATGAAAGATTCTGAACTGAACGACAGCAACGTCAACAAAGAAAAAAATCGGCCACCGCATTTCTTCGATTTTTTAAGACGCACTTAATTTTTCCACATTTTAGCATTTCTGAAACCGGAGTGGGTCTTACAATCGATGGCGTCTTAAAATCGAGGAAATGCTGTAATATTGGCCTTGAGATCAAAGTGTCTGTACTGCGTTGAAATCCAGCTGCTCGCCCAAGATCTTAGTCGCCGTAAAAACTTCAAAACTTGACATCAAATCACTTACTTGTTAGCCATCCTGTTCATCTCACTTTCAGTGTTATCGACAAACTGCTGTGTTCACAACACCCAACATCAAATCTCGCAATGTTCTTTCATTCCTTTAATTTTATATTATTTTCTTCTGTCCCTCGCTGCCCTTCTTTTCTGATAACAATTTAGAACGTTATATTAACCCAGTGACACTTTTCACATAAACAAACAAATCATGAAGCCTACTAGTGGTGTTAATCGTCACCGAAACTGCTATCTTTTAAAGGTCAAGGCATATAACACGATGGAAAAAAAAACTGACTTAAATTAGGATATCAGGCAATAGCTTTTGAACTTACCAACTTTACTTACTTTATATCGAAATGCATCGCTTTTCTATACAACTCATATTTTTACATAGCATCAAATATACACCTCGTTAAAATCTACTACTTTAATATGAAACAGTTTTTAATACTGACAATATGTATCGAAATAAATGAAGAGATAATTTTTTATTTGGTTCGGCTTCACGTCCGTACTGAGATTAGCTCTCCAACAGCAGATATGGGTAAGCAAATGAACACCAAGGTCGGTTGAGTGGACCAACTAGATTCAAGGACTATGATACAGTTCCACTTTATGCTGCGTAATACACAACGAATGTCTACGTTAAGTCTACATCACACACTTCGTGAGGATATAATGTTCATGACTGAGGAGGGAAATTGGACACTGAAATCAACCTATTCGCATGTAACGTGCCCAGAAATCTCATGAAAAACTTTATCTCTATAAGGCACGTGAAACACGACTCCTCACACCTTTACGTAAAACTGGAGAATTCACTTTGTATGTTTATTTATATCCATATTTCTCCCTTCCTTCTTCCATTCCAAATCCTTTGTTTTCTTTTCCCTAACTCCACAGTCATTCATATGAATTTATCTGCACCGGCAGCATGTTTTGGCTCTACTTCCGGTTCCGGCCATTTCCTTTGTAGCTGCAGAGGCAGATATGCATCTGCATACCAGTTCCTTTCTTCAACATAGTGGGCTGTCTGCGTGACCTGCCTAACAGGTCAGTAAAGTGGGATCGTTGACACAAAACACAGTTATAAATGAGCTTTTTGCTGACATTTCTACGTGGTATTTATTTTTTATTATTGTTGTTGTCATTATTATTGTTGTTGCTGTTGTTATTATTATTATTATTTAAAGCAGATACAAATCAGTTTCTTCATTTAGCCAATTTATACAGAACTCGTTGTGGCTGAAATGGGCAAATATTTCGTTAAAACGGTGCAACATACAAGTTTCACTAACACTTTAAATAAAACACATCAGGAATGGAACAAGTTACATGAATTGGTTCCTAATTAGGAAATAGCATAAAATAAAAAATTCTGCACACTTGTGTAAGAAGTTAGTGATAAAACTTCCCAAGCAGAGGAGCACACTTCAAGAATATACATAATTTCAAACTTATTATTTGTTACTGTTGCGTCCAGATGCATAAAATTTCAAAATGATTTATCACACATAGTATACCTTGCAGATTCTGATTTAACACATTTGGTTAAATGTAATATAAGTTCATCACTTACAGCGAACAACAGAGTGCAACTGACACACAAAGAAGTTCCTCACAATCGTATGCAGACTTCGTTCTGACCACTTCGTTAAAATAACAGCAGGAGGCTTTTGTGTCCTGTTTCAGGAATCCAAACCCAAACTCAGCTTCATAACTGCCGGCATTTTATTATCTTCCTTTTGAAGTGATCTTGGTTACAACTGAGAGTGATATCATGACATGATCATTTTTCCTGCCTCCTTTGTAATCATGGCGACAAGAGCTTCAGATACCGTTAGATTATTGCAGGAGCTCCTTCATTTTATATTTGTCAGTCACTGGGTTTGACTTCGCTATTTTTCATAATAGGCCTATAAGTGGAACTTTAGGTTTAACCTATTTTTGTTACAGCATCCAGTTTAGTCAGGATGATACCAGACGCTCAGAAGCAATTCCTGGTGACTACATCTTTGGTGTTTGCTGCTGTCAGTATTGCATCTTCATGTCCAACAGTTTGCCGGTGTGGCACTGGCATTTATGACATCACCAGTTATCATATTCTGCCTGGTGCGGACTGCTCCAACGCTTCTCTGGACTCAATTCCAGCAGGACTAGAATCTACTACAAACAGCCTCAATCTCACAAAAAACGCCATTACTGTCTTACATAACAATGCTTTCAATATACTTGGAATTACTAACCTGAAACTTCTGCTGTTGGATAATAATAATATGAGTGTCATTGAGAAAGATGCATTCCAAGGGTTGGCAATACTCCATTCAGTTTCAATGAAAAACAATGAATTAAGTTCTATTCATCCTGATGTTTTCACTTACACCCCTTTGCTAGGTACAGTGTATTTGAATCAGAATCTTATTAACAATTTGCATCCAGATACCTTCAAGAAAAACACACTGCTAAGAAACTTATACCTTACCAGGAACAGAATAACATCCATAGACCCCTTTACATTCAGAAATAATCCAAACTTATGGATACTGGAGCTCAGTTTCAACAAAATTAATTACTTCCCGCCTGAACTTATTAACGGCAGCGATGTAAGACACTTCGATATTAGTAAAAACAATATTGCCAGTTTGCATCCAGATACTTTCAGTAAAAACTCTGAATTGCTACACCTTGACATAAGCAGTAACAAAATCTCCAATCTCCACCCTGATATATTCAAGGAAAACAAAGAGCTAATCCACATTGACATAAGTAATAACAACATCAGTGGAACTGATCGTAAAACTTTCAGAAACAACAAAAATGTTCAATATTTGAATCTGAATGGCAATAAAATTGCTACATTTCATTTTGATACTCTTAAGAATGCAACAAAACTCAGATTTCTAGATTTGGGATCAAATGATATTGGTTATTTTCATTCTAGTACATTTGCTTACAATACTGAGTTAAGATTCTTAGATATAAGTCACAACAGGTTAATCTCTCTGACCCATACAATATTCCAAAATAATTCAAACCTTGAATACGTTGCAATTAAAGGTAACTCTATCACATCCATTGATTCCGAATTGTTCAGAAATGCTACGAATCTCAGATACTTAGATGCTAGCATCAACAGACTATCATATCTACTTAGGAATACATTTCTGACAAACTCTGAACTTAGAGAACTGAATATTAGTAACAATGTCATAACATCCTTCCATCCTGATACACTGCGACTGGTTTCAAAACTTCAAACATTTGATCTCAGCTGGAATGGAATTAAGTACATTCAACCTCAAACATTTTTAAACAATGTTCATCTGAAATTTCTGGATGTGAGTCGGAATCAAATAAGTGACATTGATCCGCATTTATTCTTGCAAAATCCAAGTATAACTCAGTTCTGTGTAAAACACAACAAACTAAATTTTGTTAATGATGAACCTATTCTGATTGCACCCAACTTAAAATATTTGGACTTAGGTTACTGTAACATAAGTTACTTACCAATCAAAGCATTCCAGAACTTAACAAATCTTAAGAAACTGTATCTTAGCAACAACTGTCTGGTAAAACTTGATGGCCTAAGATATGAACAATCACTAAACACGCCCGTAACCCAGAAGATATTCTCAGGCCCCATACAACTAGAAGAACTGGACTTGTCAAACAACCAGTTCGGATCTCTTGACACAAATTTGTTCGATAATCTTCAGAACTTGAGACGACTCGACATATCAGGCAACCCACTCGAATGTAACTGTAACTTGCAAAATCTCAGATCATGGTCCCTCAAGCAGCATCTGGAGACAGGCAATGTTTTGTGCAATGATAACGCAAAGTCTTCATGGGATAGAGTGGACTCTTTGGAGTGCACCTCTACCACCACCACAACAACCACCACCTCCTCAACTTCAATCCCACAAGCAAGACAGATGTCAACAAAGGCAGTGAAACAATGGATCCAACGATCGCCTCCAACAATAAAGTATGTGACAGCTGTGATTTGTACAGTATTAGTGGTGGCAGTAATTGTGCCAGTTTCCATATTTCTTTGGAGGTGCTACAAGTTAAAAAGAGTATCAGGTCAGTCAGAACCAGCATCTCAAGACAATGCTTGTTTGATACAGGATGATGACAACTTTATCTGAACTAGTCCCAGATGAGTTTCAGAATCTCTGGTGAATTGTTCTTTGACAGAACTGAATATAATATCTATGCTAGTGTCATAATCAAAGTTTCAATGCAATGTAATTATATATAAACACAGCCTAATATGTACCCAAATTTATATCACATCTTAGGATAACATTTCCAAATACTTTACTCATTTTTGTTGTGTGTGATATTTTACTGTTGTAGACTGTGATTTTTAAGTCTCAGTTGCGAGCGTCATCACTCTGTTGTAATACTTCTCAAAAACTAGCTGCTTTTACAAGATCATTATAATAAGTGGA